TTAGGGAGTATGGTTGGAGTTGAAATTTTTTAAAGAGCTCCTAAAATAGCTTTCTTATATTTTTAGCTAAATTTTAGTTAAGAAATAGAGAGCATAATTGCGGATGCTCTAAGTACTTTTGTAATTACATTAAATGACCGTATAAATAGACAAAAGGAGAGTAAAAAAATCATCACCCTAAAGGCTGCGTTTGGTTCATGGGAAAGGAATCTTGGGCATGGGAAATCAATTCATTTCCCATGTTTGGTAAGTCAGGCATGGGAAAACGATTCCTAGCACATGGGAAAGTAGGAGGGAAAGTGAATCCTTCCTTCCTCCTTGGGTTTTACTTTCCCTTCCCATGGGAAAGTAAAACTAGCATTAAATACAATTTTTTCTGACTAATTTGTCATTACTAACAATTCATAATTACAGTTTTTATCCAACAATTATTGGTATTCTTTTTTATTGTTCATTGAAATCAATAATTGTTTTTGGACCCTTGAAGATTGAAACCGTGATTCGATTTACATCATTTTGTATAATTTTTTGGTAAAATCCCTTTGAAGCTGTGGGAGCAATTCTAAAAACCCTAGAAAAATACCCGAAGCTCTCCCTAGCCGACGGCAACACCCTTGCCGCTGACCTCTCCACTCTCCACTCTCCCCTCTCTATACTCTCTATACGCATTTAGAGTTCATCACTTGAGTGTCCATGAACATGGGTAGAATTGTTTAGGTTGGATTCCGAAACCTTAGTGTTTGTTACATATTAATCTCACATTTTGATTTTCATCTCTGCCATCTTGTTAAATTTTGAGTTCATTTACATTCAAGCATTAGAAATAGGTCACTCAAACCAAATCAAACCCCCCCCCCCCCTCCCAATTTGTGTGTGTTTGTGTTGTCTGAAACGTTGTGTGTCTTCTTCACTATTTTTTGTTTGTTTTAGTATTTGTTTTTTTAAGTTTGGTCCACGCTGTATTCTTCCATTTTCTGTGCTGAATCCAACCGTATAAATAACTTGAAATTTGGACAAACGGTTAGAAAGTTATAGGTCAAAAACTGGACAAAGGTTAAAACTGGAAAAACAGAGAAACAAATCTGCCTAAAAACGATCAGTCGCCAGTTTGAACGACCGGTCGCTTTTTATTTTTCACTGTTTTTGGAATTTGATTCACAAAATGTTCTTTGTTTTTCCGTGCTGAATTCAACCGTATAAAATTCGTGAAATTTGGACAAACGGTTAGAAAGTTATAGGGCAAACACTGGACATAGGTCGAAACGTGATTTTTTGTATTTATCTTTGGTTTCTTGTTTTGTTTCCTTTCTTTTACATTTCTTTACTCGTGTTTTTAGTTTCCATTTTGCATGTTTTTTTTTTTTTTTTCTCATTTCTCTAATTTTTTTCCAATGATTTAATGACAGCATGAAATGTTGATGATTTAGACGGCAGAGGGAACATTGAGAATAAAAGTTAGTTCGAGACCTTAATTTTCTTTAAAAAGAAGGTCATGGGATAAATTAATAATTAGGTACAAGTTCAATGGATAATTTGATGAAATACCCAAATGAATGAAAATTGAGGTTATTAACTAGCAAAATTCTTATTAAAAAAGAAAAGGTTTGACTAGTGATTTGTCCCTTGAACTTGTACCTAAGTTTCGTTTTATCTCCTATTCTTTTTTATTTAGAAAATTAAGGACCAAAACTAATTTTTTTCACCAATTTGCCCCCGGACGTCAAAATCTGCCACTGCCTATCCATTCTACCTCCGGGTTGACCTGCCATGACCCGTTTTGTTAAATGGGTTATATAGGTATTTTTGCGAGTTGGCAGGTTGACCCGAAACTCACCCGTTTATTAAACGGGTCATGGGGAGTTGACCCAAAAATGACCCGAATTTTATTCGTGCGGGTTGAACCCTCTAAATTCTCGTGCGAGTTTCAAGTCGTATGGGGTCTATCAAGGTGGATGTGGGTAGGGGATGGGGGTTGGGATTGGAGTGTCAAAAATCTTAGTTGCTCCGACAATATAGCATGTGCTATTCATATGACTAAATTTAACAAAAAATATGACGGTAACATGTGCTGCTCAAAATATCTGCATATTAAAAAGCCCTATTAGAAAAGGAAAAAAAAAACATAATTGAATTTTGTGTCTTTTTCTTGTAAAGAGAGCAGTGGTAGCAGTATATTGTTGTCACAATATGAAACCGAACTAACCCTAATCACTTACCATTTCCATAGATAAATCATAACAATAAGGAGTATTTATCAACCTTTTTTTCCCCATTATCATATAGATGTAATGTATTTTGAAATGACTATTTAACGCTTTTGAATTTTTATAAATGATTAGGTATAAATAAAAAAAATCATCTTCTTCTTAGTATGGGAGTGTCCCGATAATGTTGAAATAATTGAAAGAAAATAATATTCAAGGATAAACTTAAATACAAATGAAGAACATAGGATACTTAACCAAAACAAAATAATAAAAATTTTAAAAAAATAAATCAAAAAAGGTGAATGTGTGGAGCCGGTAAAATTATATTTTGGAGATACAAAGCAAAAATGTGAAGAAAATAAAACAACTTTGATAAACCAAAACATTAGCACTCAATTTCAAGATGATTGTTTGTTTATAGTTTATACCCAGAGGAGAAGAACAAACTAATTTCGTGTCTCTGAATTTGAAACTCAGAGACACAAACTTATTATTGTCAAACATCTCGATAGTAAAGTGGGGATTGACGGAAATAAGGTGTGAGGTTTTGGTTAATGGGTTCTGTAAGAATGGGATGGTTCTTGAGGCTTTGAAGGTTTTGAGGGCCATGCTGAGTACGAATATCGTGCCGGGATGTGGTCTGAAGAAGTGGGTTTATAAGGTTTTGTTGAGGGAGGCTAGGATTAAGGAGGCAGTGGAGTTGAATGAGGCTTTGGGTTGTGTAGGGGATAGAGAGAAAGGTGATGAATCAGAGTGTGTGAAGAAGGTTTTGGCTTTGTTGGATCACATGATTGGCAATTGGGCAGAATAGAGCAGGTATAGGTTTCTGGACGATTGGTTTCAAATGACTTATCTTTTCTTTCAATTAGAGATCCTTTTATGAATACCTTTTACAAATTACTTATCTTTTTTATAAGATGCAGACAATATATCTGTGTGGTATTGAAACTTTTTGTATCAGTTGTCAATTGAAGAACAATTTTTTTTTCTTGACCCTAAGTTTGTAATATTTGCATTGATATGGCCAAAATTTGAACTGAATTTTTTTCATGAACTAAAATAGCCAATAAATAGCATTATCAGCTGATAGGAATGTTCTGCTTTCGTGTGCTTTCAGAAAATGAGATTTTCTGAAACGAATGTCTTAGCAAGCTAGTACTCACCTTAAGTGCTTTCTTGGAGTGTTTCTTTTGTTCAGTCTTCCGTTTGGTAGGATGATGCTATGATAGAACTACATATTCACTTACCAACAGGGAGCCATTTCTGTGTGATTTCAGGTACTGTCTCGATGTAAACATAATTCCTTTTCATATGTACCGGAGTAGGTATCTTTCGAACAATGTTGATTGTGATAGTATCTACTGTCTCAACTTAAAAACTCAAGATGAAGAATTTTCTTTCTTACATGATATGGTACTCAACTACATGTTTGGTTTTGAATTGTAGTGTGGCTTAGAATTACGTTCTCCTCCTTCAATTGTTCAACAATAGGTATATTGTTCATATTTCCTATATAAAGTTTGATAATCGGCCTTAGCCTTCCAGAAAGGATTATATCTTTTCCATCCGGGAAACTAATTTTAAATACCAAACTGTGAACAGTATTTTACCATGCTGTGTGTGTATGCAATCCATCATGTGATCCATTTGTGTTCCGTAATAGTTGCGAAGACTACTAGCTATTGCCTCTGTCAGGATGAATTCAATTCTGATTACTTTCTCTATCTCTAGTGATGCAGGAGCATATGGGTGGATCAAGATAGATATTTACCATTTAATTAGTTATTTCATGATATATTGGTATTTTCTTATTTAGGTAGTTTTAGGATAACTTTTATTATTTAGGTGTGATTTTATAATTAATTAGTTTACTTTTGGACCAAGTAGCCTTGGTGCCCAAGTCTTGTAAAGCCTATAAATAAGGCTAATGTAATAGTTGTAGGGGAGTTTATGTTGATGATTAATGAAATAGTTTATTTGTGGCATGGATTTGCTACGTAATATGTGAGTTTGCACTAGCCCTAGATTTCGGTGCTCGTGTGTGTGGTTGGTGACCTATGTCCGGACTCCGATCCCCATCATCTAGTAGACTTGATACCATTTTGCTTGATGTTTATTTTTTTAGGTCAAACATCTTGCTTGATTTCAATTTTCAAGTAAAGACCACTGTTATTACTGTTAAAGAGAGTAGCTTTCTACAGAGAACAGGTGTTTTCTTTAAATTGGTAACATGATTCATGCATTCTTAAACTCTAGGTCTGTATCATCACTGGCCTTCTTCTATGTAGTAAGCATTATATTTAGGTCATACTAAATTAAAAAATATGGCCAATCTCTTTTAGCGGGTATGCAATTGTGAGTTGTATTTTAAATTGTTTATTAAGTTGTAAGTCAGCAAGTCTCATGCACTACTTGAGCCTGTTTAATTGTGTTTGTTTGATCTTTTCATTGATGCTAGTATTTCTGTAACTGGCTCTTGGAAAGGTGTAAGGTGCCGCACTTTTGTGAAGATTGCTGTTTACTACTGCATGATGTTTGGGGATCTGCTGTTGCTATTACATGTTCCATAGCTAAGGGCTTCAGAGCTGTAAACTGCATTCTGCACAGGGTCTGGCCGTTATAGTCCTGCATTCTGCATAGGGTCTGGCTGTTATAATCGTGCATTCTGTACAGTGTCTGTCCTTTCGTATGCCATTTTCATCTTCTGTTTTAGAGGCAGTTGAGCAGAAAAGATTGCCTTAGTGCGTTTTTGAAATGGTGATTGTTGCTGAGTACCAGCAGGGTAGAAGCATGGCACTGAGACGTGAAGAAATCACAGATAGCATCATGCCTATGGCACATTGGGTTTTGTTGTGCTCCCATTCTTTGACGGAGGCCTCTGTTTGAGTGGACCTGTGGCTGAGTCTTTCTACAATCAATTGTAACCGAAAAAGAAGAAAAGCCTCAGAGAACTTCCTAGGTCCTAGGATGTCAAGGCATGAAAAATGTTGTCTGTTTTTTCCCTTGATCCCTCAAACTTGATATTGTAATGGTGTATTTGTGACATTGCCAAATATGCCAAGTTATATCAACTGATATTGGTATGTAAATTTTTACTGAGACAGAATGTGAATGCAATGTTCAACTCCATCACTTGAGAGGGCACTTGGATTCCATAACCGGAAAAGATGCTACATTTTATGTCAATATTCAAGAGTCCTCTGAGGATTTTTATGGGCTTCGTTCATACAAAGTTATTTCTCTTCTCAATTATAAATTTGAATCCCTTCCCTCTTATTTCTCTTCTTAATGTGGGAATGATTTCAAAATTAAATCTCCTCTCACTCTTGATATAAAAAAGACACTACTTCCGTCTTACAAATCACAGTTTAGCACATACACAAAAACAACTCATCGAAAATACAAAGAGGAAAATTTTTGCACACCCATAAATTGTGAATGACATAATGTAAGTAGGAATGGCCACTCCAAGAGGACACTGGCATTTCAATTCATCTAGAATATTTTCTTTTTCTAATTGGAAAATAAAATAATAAAAATAAAAGAGAAGTACATCTTTAAACTTGAAAAGATTTTTGGAATGAAACAAGATGATTACGGTAGAAGAACCAAAGTTATTAAAATATTTATATATATATTTAAAAAAGAGCACAAAAACATGTCTTTTCTCGTACTCATTCATTCGAGTTTAAAACACTGAAACAGGGAGGAGACTGTCAAAGTGGATAACCTTTCCCAGTTCGTCACTCACTTCTAACACTTGTTGCTGCTGCTTTGGAAGGTTCCATCTCTCTTTCTCTCTCTCATTTTCTTTATTTTTTTTTATCTCTGTCTGATTAATTTTGATGTGTGTGTGAAGCAGTTGAAAGGTTCCAACTATGGATGGTCACCACGACCCAGATATACTGTCCCTACTAAAGACGCAGTAAAAGGCATTCTAATTCAACCCAATAAAGCAAAAGGAGCCACCGAAGCTCCTCCGTTTTCTTTGTTTCAGCCTCCTGAAGCTGAAGGGTCTGCCTCTGAGGTAATACCCATTTCTCGTTCTCCTTTATGCTCTGTTTGATTGCTCAGAAAATGTAGGGAAATTGAATTTAGAACACTGAAACAATTTTCACAATTTAAGATACCATTTTGTTAACAATTAAGTTGTACCCACTTTGTTTTGTGGCCTCTTAACTGAAAATTGCATCTTTTAAATGAAAGAAAGTTGGTATCTTCGAAGTGTTTGGTGGTAACCACACAATTATGTTCTTAAAAAACCAGAAGAGCATATATGTAGTATTCAACCAATAGGGGAGAGAGCCATACTTGGTTAAACTTCACTGCAACATTCACACCTTTATTTTGTAATGCCTACAGTTGGAGCCAGCGGACCCTGATTTCTACAAGATAGGGTATGTTAGAAGTATGAGAGCTTATGGAATTGAATTTAAAGAAGGGCCAGATGGGTTTGGAGTTTATGCTTCCAAGGATGTTGAACCACTTCGCCGGGCTAGAGTGAGTTGTTTCTATCCGATTATAATAATCTGTTGCACTTACTATGGAGTGTGTGTGAGTACAGCTCCATGCATAATGCCACATTAAGTGTCAGTGTCTGTGATGGTTTTGACAGCCCTTGGTTTATGATGAAATGTTGAGTTCCAATGGCTAGTTTTTGGTATTAATGTTGCTTTGTTCTCAATTTCACAGGTAATAATGGAAATTCCACTAGAACTGATGTTAACTGTAAGCCAAAAGCTCCCATGGATGTTTTTTCCAGATATAGTACCAGTGGGTCATCCAATATTTGATATCATTAACTCAACTGATCCAGAGGTAAATGTGTTTTACTTAATTTCAGCTATCAAGGATTGATAGCTGATTTGTATAATCATTCATTTACCAGGAAAAAAAATTTGTCAATTATTCTAGTATTTCTTCATGGAAATAGCATTTTGTTCAAATTATGAATTGACATTCAATTTCGATTGCCTTCCCTTTTGTGGCAGACAGATTGGGATCTGAGGTTAGCATGCCTTCTTTTGTACGCATTTGATCGGGAAGATAACTTTTGGCAGTTGTATGGTGATTTTTTACCCAGTGCAGATGAGTGCCCCAGCTGGCTTCTAGCTAGTGAGGTAGATGAATTTACAGAACATAAATCTTTATTTATAGTATTTTTTTTAAAAAAAACTTGCATAGTTTAGTACCATTTATTCTATTTTTGCTTCATTCACAAGTGATAAAAATAAACATAGGCATGTATCTTTCTTCTTTGATTTATACCTATAAGATCTAGAGCTTTAACATGTATTTGAGGATTGCAATTTTTAGATTTGAGGCTCTCCTTGTGCAAAGCATCAGGTAAAATTTTAGAAGGCCAATTTAAAGCTTAAACTTGAAATTGTCATTTTTTATTAAGATTTGCATCAAGGCCTTGAGTGTGCCTGATGTCACAGGCACATCTATAGCTGTCATGTGGCCTTCGAGAATGCATCCACATTGTTTGGGCCTCTTGAAGTTTTGTAAATAAGTACTCTTAATCATGCTTTTCTTTTGCTTTTGCTCCATAAATGCTATAGGAGGAGCTTTCAGAACTGCAGAATCCCAATCTTGCTTCAACTATGAGAGAACAGCAACGTCGAGCCTTGGAATTTTGGGAAAAAAATTGGGTATTTAGCAGCCTCTGTATCTTGTATCTCAGAAAGCATTCTTGTTATCATTATTATTGTGCAGAATAAATTGCTTACCCTAACTTTTAACTGATTATGCATATGTTGTATGTGTGCTCACCTGAATCAGCACTCTGGTGTACCACTAAAAATTAAACGTCTTGCTCGTGATCCTGAGAGATTCATTTGGGCCTTGAGTATGGCACAATCACGATGCATTGGCATGCAAATGAGAATTGGTGCACTTGTTCAAGATGCAAACATGCTAATTCCATATGCAGGTAAGCTTTTATCCACCTATCCTCTTCTAGTTTTGATTATAAAAAAAAATTCTCGTGAATATATTATAAAATTAGATGAGTAATCGCAATTTGGAGGGGGGAATCAAGAACTTATCTTTGTCCTAAGGAGTTATATATTATGTTCTTAATTCAATTTGGTTTTGCTCTTAGACATCTTTGTCCATTTGAAATTGGTAAGATGCTGATGAAGACACAACTTTGTGTATGAAATTCATTTTCTTTTTGCATTAGTTGTATTATTTATGTATACTATTTCTGTTTTCACTTATTGGGATTTCGAAGCAAATGGTTTCCTTAAACTATCTGCGTTCACTTACTATTTATATTCCCCATTTTGTTATTAGATGGCTGTCTAATCAATTTGCTAAATTCTGCAGATATGCTAAACCATTCCTTCGAGCCAAATTGTTTTTTCCATTGGCGTTTTAAGGATCGCATGCTTGAAGTGATGATAAATGCTGGAAAACGGATTAAGAAAGGTGACGAGGTAATGCCTATTCTGTTTTATCAATTGATGTTGATAATTTCCTTTCATAGGTAAATGCTTGCAAGGAGTCTTATGCTAAGGCTTTTAGTTTACATATATGAAGATTATCTGCTACTAATTTGGAGGAATATTTACAGATGACTGTCAATTACATGAGTGGACAACAGAATGACATGCTGATGCAAAGATATGGTTTCTCTTCACCTGTGGTAATGTGCTCTTGTCCATCTAGTCAAGTTAGAGAGTAACATGGTATAAGAAGGAGATTATTTTTCTTCTTTCTACTTCAGTTGAGCATGTTCCGTAATTGTGGTGATATTTGTACTTTTCTAAAACTGAGTGCTCTTATTCTGGCTTGGAATTGCAGAATCCTTGGGATGTGATTCAGTTCTCCGGAAATGCACGTATTCATTTGGATTCCTTCTTGTCAGTATTCAATATATCTGGACTTCCTGAAGAGTACTATCATAACAGTATGAGATCTCTCTGTGCCTTGTTCTATATTTGTTGTCATATAAATTTTAAACCAAGCAGCATCATAGTTTGAAAGGTCTGTATAAAATTTATAGCAGGTCGCCTATCTAATGATGGGGATACTTTTGTTGATGGAGCAATCATAGCAGCGGCAAGAACATTGCCCGCTTGGTCAGATGGGGATGTGCCTCCAATCCCAAGCATGGAAAGAAGATCTGTAAAGGAGTTACAGGAAGAATGCCGACAGATGCTTGCAGCGTATCCTACCAACTCTAAGCAAGACCAAAAAATTCTAGGTGAGGTTGCCATGCAGATCCTCAAATATCTGGGAAAACATCGTGGCTATTATATTTTTCTTGTTTTGGTTTCTGTGGTAACTTATGGGTAAAACCAACTCTATCTTGGCATTGGAAATTCATGTTTCTTCCCATCTTACTCTCTACAGATTCGATGTCAGATGCTAGTAGGACGCTTGAAGCTGCAATCAAGTATGTAATCATCCCATTATTCATCCCAGAGCTTTTTGGTCTGTAGGGCAAACTAGGGCAAACTAAAACCATTCCAAATTATTTAATTGCTGATCTGGACTTATGCAGGTATAGGTTGCACCGGAAGTTGTTCGTAGAGAAGGTCATGCAAGCGCTGGATATGTACCAAGAGCGGATGTTATTCTGATAAAACTTGCCAGTTTACAAAAGCTAGGAAATTTTTGTGGCATGCCAATTTGCCAAAACTCTGCTTGTGACAGGAATTTTCATGTCTAACATATATGAATGTGTGCAGAGATTTTTCTAGTTTTTCTTATCTTTTCAAATGGTGGCTGATCATGTTAACGAACCTGCTGGTGGTTGGTAGGACGAATGTGACATGAAATAGAAAACAGAAGAAGGGCTGCAAATTGAGTGAAACACATGATATCATTTGTTTGACACTAGTGCAAATTGAATACCTTTTTTTTCACTTTTTTGTTAATGGGGAAATAGACTTGAATTTCACACCTATTCCTTTCATTTAAACTATCGAACGAGTTGTGTAGTGCAACAAATGTGATCATGTACCTTTCTACGACTTCTATGATGACTAACAGAAGAATTGTGCCTTCTAAAGTGTTAAAATGCACCCTTGCATCGCATAGCGATTTTACATGAGATTTCTTGCATATTATTGAATTTATGAATGTCCAGTTAATGGTTGAAACTTATGTGAACCTTTGCCACTGATTAGGAGTTTAAATTTACGATTTATGAGTAAAACTTTCATGTTACATGCTTCATACTCATTCAATAATGTCTATCCCATCAGAGAATTATGAAAGGTTTTCTCCTTGACCAGCTTGTTAAAAAGTTTCAATAAAATAAATATGAATTTGTGACACATTTTCCCATTCACGGAAAAAAAAATTGTCAAAATAGCCAACTTATATGTTTAGTTGCTTCCAATATCCCACCTATACAAGTATAAAAGTGAAATGCATTGGATTTTGAAACATCTTCCTAATTGTAGACACAAGGCAAGCAGAACTTGTTTCACAATCCTTTTGTTTTTGTCTTATTTTCTTTTATGTGTGTTGTTATCATTACATCGATCCTTGATTTTCTTCAAACCAAAATTTACATCTGAGCACTTTTATCTACACACAGAAAAGAGTGTTATGTGAAGAAAATCTCATGTATACAGATATCTCCCAAATTCATCCTAAACTGGTTTCGCGTAATCGAAGTGGTCCTATCCCTGCTTTGCCTAAGAGCTAGCTAATAAATGGAGATGAGTATCCACAGGAAGCTTTTGCATGAAAACTGTCCGGCTTAAGGATGCCTTTCCTCGGAATTGATTTCTTTAGCTTTTGTTTCTGCATATAGCGGCAACATTTTTAGAGACAATTGTTGACAACATGCTAACTGGAAGGAAGACTGCTCACAAAGTCAAAGATTTAGTTACCTTACGCTGAGCCATGTCGTAGAGGTTCTGCCTCGGCGGTATGGACTTGATTGGCTTGCTGACTGTCCAAAGGCATGTATTGGGACATGATAGCCATGATCTCCGAGTCCATGTAAGACTGCAAGTGAAAGTAAAATTTTTTAACAAGGGCACAGTTCCTAGTCTAGTATACAAATTAACTAAGATGGATATAGAACTGGTCAAAGGAACATCTTTAGACATACTCGAAGCCTGTATTTGTAGAAGATATAACCAGCTAGGCCAACTCCCACGACACCCGCAAGGACCAAGAAAGTTAAAAACCAGGCAAATCTCGACCCGTGCCGCTCTGCATTTAAATGGATAAACAAACATCAAGACATATATCTTGCAGGATGGCCAACATCCCCATCAGTTTGAAATGAAGTAACACATTTAAATATAGTTTTACCGATCCTCTAAATAAACAGTGATGGCTATCTCATCATGTGAATATCATAATTAGTCATTTAAATTTTCTGGACATGACAATGAATTAGTGATAATGACTCAAATGTGCTGTCTTACCAATACAAGTATCTTGATCCTTCATATACAACTGTCCTCCCTTACATTTGCAGTAGTACCCACCCCAAGTGTTCTTACAGGTGCAACCATCACACTGACAAGCAGTACGCTCCTTGCATTCGTTGATATCTGATGCATGGTGAGAAAACAAAAATGAAGATGATGTTTTATGGATATTAGGTTTCAAAAAGCCTTGAAAAATTGAATATTTATTCCACAAGAAGAAATTATTCTTCAATACATTAGTCACATTGGAACTCAAAATCACCTTCACATTTAAGACCATCCCCTTGAAAGCCTTGTGGACATTTGCAGCCAGATAACTCAGAATTCTGTTTGTATAACAAAGGGAAAATTAAAAGAATTTAGAGAAAGAAAAAAAAATAAGGAAGGAAAAACATGAAGTTTGGAGGTCTAATCTCATGAAACTGCAACAGAACTCTCTATAATAAATACTTTTAAAAACAAAACAAAAAATGAGAAATCTGTCCCAGAGCACAGAGAACCACTAATAAAGTGAAAGATTATGATAAACATCACTGAACTGAGCAAGCCGAGAAAACTAATCCATTTCTAGAGTCTGACCAGCACCCTCCATTGTTTATTGCACACCTTGCAGGTCCAAAAGCTGTCAAGAAAGGAGTAAATATTTTAGGAATAACTCTCTTCCACAAATTAATCAAAAGGAATATTTGCTTCTTCTTTTTTTGTTATTAAGAAAAGGTTTACCATGACAAGATGTATAACCATCGCCTCGATACTGAACACCGCTCACTAAAGGGCACTCACAAACTCTTCCCCTAAATGTGTCCTGACAAAAGGAACCAATTAACATGCACTTAGAATCTGTAATTCATATAGGAACATTGTCATAGGTGGCATAAACTATAAAATTCAAATGTAAAATTTTCTGTATACCTTGCAAGCAGTTAAATTAGATTTGGTGTCCTGCCAACACCCACCATTCCTCATAAAACACTCATTTGTCTCGAGATCTGTTGAAGTAACACAGAGGATTGGGAGGGGGAAAGGGAAGGAGAGGAAAGGAAAAGGACATCAGTACATTATCCAAACATCAAGAAACAGACATCAGTATAGACTGGAAAAATGGAACAAGCACACCAACCTCCACTCAAACAAATTGGAGGATCAGATGTCTCCTTAAATCCAGCACATATAGCCTTTAGCACAGCAGTTCTATCCAATTTTCCTTCAGATCAATAAAAACAAAAACTTTAGCATTCTGTTGAAGTATAATCAATAGAGGTACCAAGGAAGCTGTAACAAACCTCGATACTGAACATTATTAATAACCAATGTCGGCAAGATGGTAACATCACCACGAGATCCTCGCCCAACCTAAATATAACAAAGATAAAAAGGAAAGCAATAATAAGATAATCTGTTGAATATTGTGGTTACATGTACATTGATCCAAGAACAGTGGTGGGTCTCAACAAAAAGAGGTAAAGAACATAGGGAAATGGAGAAAAAGAAGCGAGTATGACCTGGTTTTCTTGTTCTGCTTTTAGCACTGCATTCTCCACATCATCTTCAGGATTGCCCATACATTTTTTAATCTTGTCAACAGGTAAATCTGCAGCAATCAGATTAAATCTATTAAAAACACAAAACAAGCATTATTCCATACACAGCAATAACAAAACATGCATTTACCAAGTGATTTCATGACATCCTCAGCGCATTCTTTGCTGTACTTCTTTTCTTTCATGGAACATCTGATATGGAAGTCTGTCACATAATCCCACCAAACCCATGACCGGTTGCTCTCATTCGCAACTCTATGCACACAAAGCTGCCTCAAGTTCTCATATACAACATCCTTCCCTTGATAACCTTCCCCTAAATCTTTCTCTGGATCTGGTGCACAGTATCTCCCATGGTTTATGCACTGCGACTTGCATTGAGTTGTAAGGGTGAAAGCCTGAGGGCAATACCAAGTTATATAATGTGGAGTGAAGAGAGTGTAACCCCCTCTCTCAAGAATCTGAGCATGGCCCTTGAAATTTTTCACAAAAGTCATTTGTTCATCGCATCGAGCCCCGCACTCATCATTGCTGTTTGTCCAGAACTCGTATTCAACTCTTTGATCGGGGTGGGGGACTGACTCTCTCCAGTCAAGTTTCACCACAACATCGTTGCTGTTCTTTAAAGCTTCCTTCAAGATATCACCAAAGGATTTTTCTATCAAAGCAGATGGAATTCTTATCTTCTCTATGTAACCATCTGCATCAGTGCTCTCCTCTGGAGAATCCATTGTTATTAGAGGCTCTTCAACAGTGTCAGCCACTAAAACAGCTGTAGCTCCAGCCTCTTGAGCATTCCAGACCTTCAAAGCAAAGTAGCAATCTACAAGGGCAATAGAATAAAGTTCTCTAAGTAGAATCCAAGTAGCATGGTTCTGTAACATAAGACTCGCAACAAGGTTCAATTACTTAAGATTAGACAATGTAAAAGGCTATTGGAATTTTGTTCTGATTCATTTCATCCAATTCAGGATTTAAATAGCAAGAACCATAGCGTAAAGAAACGAAAGCTCATGCTGCTTTGACCCCAGAAATAAAAACAAAAAAAGCATCTGAATTGGACAGTTAGAAAGGTAAAACTTAAAGGCCATAGAATAGAAGACTGAGAAGAGACTTTTGATAAGTCGATGTTACTCAAATAGAAGGAAAAGTCGGAGAACAGGGGAAAAGCAGAGCAACTACGTGAAAACATGCTTAAATTCACAACTTCCAATAACAAATCCAAAAAAGGAAACCATTTTTGAAAACATCTCATGCTAGCTGCAGCAGTCACTAAATTGAAACAAATTCAATTCAAACCAGCAAACTTAAAGCTCACCCTTCTCCCAATCTGTTTGTTTTTTAAAGGAATTCAAAACACACAACAAAAAAGGAAATTATAACTATATATAAAAAAAAGCCCATTGCAAAAACAAACGAAGACCCATTTCTAGACAGACTTTGTTGCATGATCATCAATCAAATTCTTAACAAGCATAGCAATGGGGGAAATGATCTCGATTCTCAAGTCAACTCACTGTGACATATTAGGAGAGAAAGCATAAGAAGATTCTGAGATTTACGAATTGCAGAGAGAATTAGAATGAATTGATTTACCTCCACGATCAAGAACAACAATGGTGGAGCGAGAATTCCGAGACTTGAAAGGCTTATCACCCTCAAAGGCTTCACACCCTTTAGACCCTTTCTCAGGATAAACAACACCACCCACCAAAGAGCCTCCATAGTCTGGCAGACCAAAGTTGCCTATAGCACCATCATGCTTAGAACTAAGATTCATTGGATACAGAACACTAATACTACCCGTCTCCACCACAAACCGTGCATGAACATGGCTCTGGAGAATTGCTAATACCACAAGCAAAGCTGTGAGCTTTGGGAGAAAAGCCATGCAAGCAGAGGCTTTGATCACCTGCTATGGCGAGGCTCCTCTGTGTTTTTGGGGTAATGGGTTTTTCTCTTCTGTGT